GAAGACAGTGACACCGAGTTATTTCTGTTTGGCTGCTGTTTCCATCCTTGTTATAGATATGAGAAATGAAAATGAGGAATGTCAAGTGTAAAAAAATCACCCATGACAGAGGACACTGTTTTCACCTTATTACGATGAAAACAAGAAGGGTCACTGGAGAAGTGAAAGCACACCAGGATTCTGGATTGGATGTGATGGTGGACATGTGGGCAGGGGCTTAACTTCTCCAGACCTTGCTTCTCCCAGTGTGAAATCTGTGACTCAGTATCTTCAGGTATGCCCAACATCTGTCTCTTCAAGTCTGTGTCCTTTAAATCTAATGTAATTACACTGTATAACTTGTGTAGGAAGTGCTACTCAAGGACTCAAAAAAAAAAAAATGTACATATGAATACTTTCTCACTGTGAGCCAGCTGTGCAGAAGTGTGGCCATGTACTATGTCACACGCTCTAATGAAACTGAAGTCCTTTACGAGTCTCCTTTTCTCAGAGCTCTCTATGAAGTTTCCACTGCTTGTTACCTACCTCTGGTGTTGAGCCACCAGAACTTCCCACCTGCCTTGTGACCTCTATCTTGATTCTATACATGTGTTTTTTAAATCTGGCTCCCTTCTTAGCTGGGTATTGGGACCATTCTGCTGGATAAGATCAGCATTTCAGTTGTTACACAGTTGGTAGTGAACAATGATAGAAAAGTCCTCTTTGGCCTGATGGTCTTACAAGCCAGAATCCCAGCATTCAGGAAGCAGAAGCAGGAGGAGGTGAGTTCAAGGCCAGCCTGGGACCTTATCCCTTTTCACATACATATGAAATGATGCATTATGTCTAGTGCCTGTAAAAATTAGCAAAGCAACAATGTAGGTGCAGTTTAACGTGTCCTCTTTAAAAACTTTAGTGTTTTGTTTGCTTTGCTGGTTTTTTTTTCTTTCTTTCTTCCTTCCTTCCTTCCTTTCTTTCTTTCTTTCTTCCAGTTCTTACACTTCTTTGCATTGTCACCTTAATGTCTAGAGGAATTGACTTTTCTTTTTAATTTTTTAAACTATTTTTCTTATTTTACGTATTGATTTCAGTTCCCTCTTCCTCCCTCCCATGCCCTCTGACCCTCCTCCCACCCCCACTCCACAGGGAGGATGATGCCTTCCAGGAGGGATCATCAAAATCTGTCAAGTCATTTAGACTAGGGTCTAGACCCTCCCTCCTGTCTCTAGGTTAAGGGAGTATCCCTCCATGGGGAAAGTGATCCCAAAGTCCTTTCATGCACCAGGGATACATCCTGGTTCCACTGTCAGAGGTCCCTTAGACTGCCCAGGCCTTCTGAGATCCATGTTCAGGGGGTCTGGGTCAGACTAATGCTGGATTCCCAGCTATCAGTCTGGGGGTCCATGAATGCCCCCTTGTTCGGGTCAGCTGTCTCTGTGGGTTTCTGTAGCCTGGTTTTGACCCCTTTTCTTATTACTTCACCCTCTCTGCAACTGGATTCTAGGAGTTCTGCTCAGTGATTAGATGTGGGTGTCTGCTTCTGTTTCCATCAGCTACTATAACAGGGTTCTATGATGGCATATAAGTTATTTATCAATCTCATTATCAGGGAAGGTAGCCTCTCCACTGTTGCTCAAATTGTTAGTTGAGATCATCCTTGTAGGTCTCTGCACATTTCTCTAGAGTCAGTTTTCTCTTCAAACCTATAATGGCTCCCTCTATTATGGTATCTTTTTTTTTTTCTTCTCTCCTCTATTCCTCCCCTGACTCAATCTTCCTAGTCCCACATGTTCTCCTCTCTGTCTAGAGGAATTGTAATAGCTTCATTACAAAGGTAATGAAGTACTTGGGTGTGATTGCATGGACCCATAATCCCAGCACTTGATGTATGGAGGCTGGATTTGAAGGTCATCCTTGTCTATACTGCTGTTCCACCAGGCTACATGAGACTCTTTTCAAAAAAAAAAAAAAAAAAAAAAAAAAAAAGACAAAGGAAAAGAAAAAAGAAAGGAAGGAAAGAAAAGAAAAAGCCAGGCAGTGGTGGTACTCGCCTTCAATTCCAGCATTAGGGAGGCAGAGAACAGCCAGGGCTATACAGAGAAACCCTGTTTGGAAAAGCCAAAAAAAAAGGAAGAAAGAAAGAAGGGAGGGAGGGAAGGAGGGAGAAAAGAAGAAAGGAAGGAAGGAAAAAACAGGGCAAAGCAAAACAAAACACTAAACTTTAAACTGTACTCATTGTTGCTTTGCTGTTTTTTACAGGAACTAGACATAAGATATTTCATAAGATGATGTTTCAAAATGTTTACTAAAATGACTGTAATATTCCTTCCTCATGGAGAAACTATTACTATGCCATCTACCTAATAACTACTTAAGTATGAGTATAATATTGACTAATTTTCACCTCTTTTTAAAGATTATGATTCCATTTAGTTAAGCAGTTATATATAAAAGAAAAAAAAAAGCCTGTCCAAAATAAATAAATAAGAAAAATTTCCAGTATCCAATTCCTAGCCTTCTTCAAATACATTTAACCTAGCACATAACATAGCTACAGCTACAGTTTAAACATAGTTATCAGAGTCTTATCAAAATGAATATATAATAAGTTCAGTTGGTTATCATGAGATACTTAATATTAAATAAATCTATGATTAAGTGATTACTTAAACTATTTCTTGTCAACTCTTAACTAATCTTTTTTTTTATCTGCCTTCTACCTCATTCATTTCTGTTTTAACCTAGGCATCAGAACCTACAAGACAAATTTAAGAACATAAAGGAAAACACAAGAAGGAAGTTAGACTGCAAGATAAAGGAAACAGAAAGGACTTGACAGTAAAGGTTTGGACTCAAGAGCCCAAGAACTAATGGAAGTAGTATTGATTCTTACTAAAAGATCCATCACAGAGCTCATGCTCTGATACAGACTAGAGCCTTACTATGAATATTTAAAGGTCAAAATATCATGAAATCACTTTTCACAGGCAACATTTTCTTTTTTGACGTGGCTGTCGAGTGTACTTAAATCGTCGATGAAAGAAATTTCTAGAAAAGAGGTAGTTTAACAACAACAGAAGCAACAGAAGATGTCAAGAAACACCATGCACAAAAGCACACAAAGAACTTACATGGCATAGGAAAAATATGAACCTGAGCAGATAGTGCAGAAGGAATTCCATGGTAAAGAATGTGAATATTTTTTTTAATTTTACATCCTAGTGTAGAGTGATTGAGCCCAAGGCCTCCAGCCCCATAAAATATCTTAAAATAGGTAACTGTTAGAGCTTTCTTACATGTAGCTATTTTATAGATCATGGTCTATAAATGTTCACAGCTCTAAGTAAAATCAGAAAATATGTTCAATTACTAACATGCCTTTAGAGGTGATGAATTCTTTTGTTCCCCCAATTCTAGAATCTAAACTTTTTGGGGCTAGGTCAGAAAAAGAATACTTCATTTTCTTTCTGTATCGGGCAACTATTAATCTGTCAAAGCCAGAAATTCAGTTTTGCCTCAGTAAGAGAGCTCCTGCATGGTCCTGTTGCCAAAAAGAACTGCCTTTGTAAAGAATTCTCACAAAGGCAAAAAAAAAAAAAAAAAAAAAAAAAGCCTTGAAAAGCAGAGTAATCCTGAGAATACATTTTCTCAGTTCTCTTTTCCCAAGCTTTGCTGTTTCCACCTACCTATGTTCTAGGCCTGAACAGGTTTTATTTGGATGTAACTGGCTAACAAGATGTGTGGAAGTATATATAGTTTATCATTATTTGTGTACCAGACACTTTGCTGAATTCTTTACAAATATTTTACATAATCCTCACAAAAGCTCTACGACATAGTGGTGTTGTTATCTATTTTACAAATGTAGAAACATGCCTTAAAGGGGTACATATCCTACTCAAACGTTAGACAGGTTAACACAGAAAATACTTGAAACCTGACAGATAACCATGAAATCATGTTCGTTTACATTTGCAAATCTTATACTATACTTATACTATAAAACCATACAGTATATCTTATATAAAAGCATACAGACCTGGATCAAAACTTAACGCTAATCACTTGACACATACAGTTACGAAATTAAGTCAGTCCCAGTTTCCTGAAGAATGAAGACGATAATAGTACCATTTAAACTGTGAGCTAACATATATATATATATATATATATATATATATACACACACACACACATATATATATATATATATATATGTATGTTATATATATATAGTTATATATATATATAACATACATATATATATATAACTGTTAGCACAGTGGCTGTGGATCACTGCGATCCATTACTATTTTTAACCCCGCCCTACTCTCTATTTGATTATCCTCACTTGGCCACCAACGAGTAACAGAGGGGAAGCAAAAGTTGCATTAGGTCAAGTGCATTTGGTCCAGCACTAATGGTCACTTTGCTCCTTCATGTTTCTGACTGAAAAACAAATTCCACTGCCCTTCCTCCACGGCCGGTGTGCAGTAAGCCCGAAGCACCGGGCAGACTTTAGATGCCAGTACAGGTGCAGGAACTACTAGGACTTCACGCTGTCTTGACTTTGCACTGAATTCGGTATCACCTTTCCCCAAACCATGCAGCCTCTCCCTCCACCAATCCCCACACGACCGGTTCGTCTGGTTCACCAAACTCTGCCTGCTGAGCTGACATTTCGGAGCAAGTAACCCTTCGCCCCACCCTGCCCTTCCCGGGGCCCCGCGGTCCGTCCAGGTGCACGAGCTGCAGGCCCAGGAGGCGCTTGCAGCCCAAGGCTGACTCCTAACCCCGAGCCCGGTGCCTCGACTGGCCGCGGACCCGGCACGCGCCGCCCGGGAACCCCAGGGTGGGCACCGGAAGACCGCGGAGCACTTCCAGCGCCCGGCCTGGCGGGCCGAGCGGCGCGAAGCCTGCGGGCCCTAATTCTCTGTGCCAAGACCAAGCCCGCTCCCCGGGAAGCTTCAGGCTTGGGCTGGGCCACACAGCTCCTGAGCTGGGAAATGTCACGCACTCACGTGCGAAGTCGCCGAGGAAGCCGAATGAGGGTGGAGACCCAGCAGAGAGCACCACAAGGTGGCCAGCACAGGGGGATCTTTACTGGAACCTGAGGGCTGGCCCGCAGAGGGGCGGGGTTCGAGGGCGGAGTCCTGGAGCCGCTCAGGGCGAAGGCGGGGCTCATGGGTGGGACCAAGATTTGATTGTGGTAGTAGTGAACTTGTTCCCCAGCCCATTTCACTCCAGTTTTCTTGGCTGGTACTGCCTGCTGATGTTTAAGGACCTCTCACAAAACCCAGAGTTGACATGAGGCATTAAAATACCAGAACCGGGAAGCTTGCAGAGTTCCCAGTTTGTGACTAACAAACATCTGGAACTCTAGAGGATCTATGGTTAGACAGGTCATAGGCCGTAAGTGGGAACCAGAGACTGATGAATGTACAGAGTATTAACCCAACTCCTAATAACTTACCGTTAAAACCATAGATGAATGCACCTATCATCTCTTAACAGTGATTAACACAGAGTCCCACAAATAGTAGAAGCACAGAGAATAGGAGACTAAGGAAAGTTCAGCCCTACATGGGACATCTGTATCAAGACCCACTGTGATGATTGAAGAAGATAGAAAGAAAAGAATGTCATTGAGTAACTACAAGGAAACTGTTTTCTGGGCCATTTCACATGTGAACTCCCAGCAATTGTGACAGCATGCAAAAAGAAAAAGAAAAAAAAAAAAAAAAAAAAAAAAAAAAAAAAAAAAAAAAAAAATAGGCAAAATCTCGGGATGGAGAGAGGCAGGCTGAATGAAGTGCTGGGAGAAGGAGTTAGTTTCTTTTAAGGGAGTAGTCCCTGGTAAATCAACCATGCTCCCCTTTAGTCTACTCTCAATACAGAAGGACCCAATATAAAATGTAAATTAGATCTGGCCTAGTCACACAAAGAAAACATTCAAAATTCTTAGTGTCGATGAGAAAGGACAGTGCTAGCCACCCACCTTGTCACAGATCTTTATCTCCTACTTCCTCCTTGCTTGCTGGTCATGAAAATTTCCATTTGCCTTTCCAAAGCAGGACTTTGCATGCTTATTTCACTCTCCACAAAATGCTTTGCCCCTAAAGATCTTTATGACTCACTTCTATGGGTATTAATTCAAAAATTCGGAGTGAGTTTTCTCTGGCCATTATCCAATTTAGGATTGTAATGTTTGGCTGAGGTAGCTGTGCAGTTATAAATACTAAATGCCTACCTAACTGGAACGAGGCTCTGTATTCAATGCTTAACACTGAAAGGGTAAAAAAAAGAAATGAATGAAATTGTAATGGCTCACAGAAATATATTTATAGCTCTTCGTCACTCATCTTCCTAGTTTTCAGCATCTAGCTTTTACTACTGTTTTTACTTCTCTTTTACTAGAAGAGTAGGAGGCATATTACATGAATAGAAAAATACACATTTTTTTTTTTTAAAGGAGGACATGACACTCCTAGCTCCTAGTTATGGGTGGAGGACAGAGTTTATTGTAGCTATCATAAAGCTGTGAAGAGCACAGCCAGAGGCATCTGGAAGTGTCCAGACTGAACAGGGCCATGTGGGGCAGGGAGTGTGGAGGAGCAAGAGAGCAAAAGAGAAAACCAGTATCCAAGAAGCCAGGAGCAAACCAGAAGACTAAAAAAGAAGTGTAGCTGAAATGGCTGGGTTATATAGGGAAGAGAAGCTGGGGGCAGGGGCTCATCCTGGTCCCTGGGCTGTAGTTGTTTAGGGTACAAAGAGGGGTATGCCAGCCAGGATGGCCCTGAAACAGAGTCTGCTTTGATATGTTAAATAGATACCTCACTTAGTCATTTGTCTGAGGTTTGAGATCTAACATTATATTTACAAGATACATATTTATTGAATGAATAGAAAAATTGGGTCATACCTTATTGTAAGTGAAAAAATGACAGTCATTGAAATTACAGTACAATGAAAGCATATGTAACCAATCCTTCCAAAACATACTCCAGACAAACAAATAATCACAAAAGTAAAAGGGAAATTATTAATTAATAAATGAAAATATGTTTAGGAGGAATCAAAAGACATTTCTGTGAGGAAGTAACATACTGAGAATGGAAAGAAAAACTGAAATTAACCAGGTAAGAAAGTTTGGTCATAAGGGAAAAGGAAGAAGATATCTGGTTGTAGAACATGAAGGAATACTGGCAAAGAAAATATCATGTAGTGAAGGCTTTGGCTCATTGTAGGACCAAAAGGAGAGCAGGACTGAAACTTACTGAGATACTTGCAGTATTGGGGGAGGAGGAGAGAGGTCAGGGAATGAAGTCAAAAAGACATGGAAAAGATAGTAACTGTGTGCCGGGATAAGGGAGATACGTTTCTGATCTGCCTTTTATTTCCTTTTACAGGGTCAAGGATCAAACTCAAGGTCTCACACATAGCACTCTACCACCAAGTTACAGTATTAGCTCTTTAAGTCTGTTTCTTAAGAAGATCCATTTCATGCTAGGAATTATAACGCATGTGTGTAAGGTTCTGGGTTCAAAACCATGTTAAAAAAAAGTAATCCTATCTTGTCAATAATAGGACAAAATCACATCAAAAGCCTCAGTATGGAAAGGATATATCATACAATATACCCCCCCCAAAAAAAACTAATGACCAGCATTGACTCAAGGAAAATATCTATTGTCTCATACAGGCAAGGCAAGCACTCTACCATAAGCTGTATCCCTCCCTAGTCTTTAAACTGATGATGCCTAACCATGGAAAACCAAGGAAGGCTGCCAGAAAATTTTAAGACGCTGAACTCAGTCTAAATTTCAGGTAAGCAAGTTTTTCAGCATAAGTATGGCCAATGAAATATATTATTGGTGAGGCTGTCCATGCAGCTGGGTTATAGAGCCCTAGTCTTACAAGCACAAGGCCATGGGTTTATTCACAACAACACACACAAACACAAAAAGAAAAGCCAGAATTCATGGTAGCTGAGACATCAGAAATGGAATTTCAGTATGAACATGACCTCCAATGGTGTATAAACATATTATTTAGCAATATTTAATTAAGCTGGCAGTAGAGATATGTTAAAGTAGTTTCTTCTATGGAAATGGCAAGGATTCAATAGAAGTTGAGAAGGATATACATATTTTCAATATAATGTATTTTTATCATTTATTTAACATATGAAAGTTGACAAAATTCTATGTTTATTAGATAGGGTATGATGTTGTGGATTATAGTCCATCTCCCAGACAACAAGAGACCAATATAATAAAGTTTGGAATAAGAACTCGAATGTGGGACTGAAGAGATTGCTCAGCAGTTACTCCTTGTAACTCCAACTCCAAAGATTCTCAGATTCTCATTTTCTCTCTTTCTGTCTCCCCAAAATAAACATAATGTGTCTTGTAGCTTTGCCACACCTTATTGAAATCTTGCAGGCCTACTTCTCCTTTATCACTGACATGAGCATGTTATAATAATAATAATAATAATAAAAAACCAATGTCTTATGTCTTTGCAGTTGGGAAACTTGGCTTGAACACCAGTTTTATCCATTTTTTCATGGGCATGAGTTACTCTGGGGAAACTCAAAATCTGCTGACAAACACTTCTCATTTATAAAATGCAGATACTATCTGCACATAATGATGATTAAATGAGGTAATTTAATGACATAAAGATCAAATGACACGAAAGGTCTCAGTATCACTTAGTAAATTTAGCAAACAGGCATCTCAGGCAGCCCAGGCTGTACTTAAATTCAAGGTAATAGTGCTGGGATTGCAACAATCAACTCTTTATTTATTGAGAGAGGGTCTTCCAGATTTCAAGCTAGCACCCAACTCATTATATAGCTGAGGATGGCCTTGAACTCCTGCTTGTGCGTCCACCTCCCTAGTGCAAGCACGTGCTACCACTCCAATCTTATGCATTGCTGGGAACTGAACCCACAACTTCATGCAAGCTAGGCAAGCACTCTGAAAATCTGGCTATGGTAGGATCCCTCCTCTTCCTAATATCTCTTGACTCAGACCTGGTGGGGCTTTGTTTTCTTCCGTATTAAGTCAGCTCCACAACTTTAGTTCCCAACACCTCCAGCCTCTGGATTTTTTCCACTCTCCTCTATATGTGGGACAACTTAATTCATTCAAGCATTTATTTTCAAAAAGGACCCTTAAGTGCCAGGATTCACTTTACTTTTGAGAACTTCAGAGAAATATAGAAAAACTGCTTTTAATCGCCTTTTCTTTCATGCATACATTATTGGGTCTACTTCAGAACTTTCGCCTCAGCTCTGTTAATTTACTCTTTGGAGAAGGGCAGGAAAGCTCCTGAGAGTTAGACAGCTGACAACCGCCAGAGGAGGGCTCTCTGGCCCGCTTGAGCTTGCTGCGCGCGCATGCGTGAACCCCTCCCCAGTTATTTCCGGTCTCTGGAACCCTAGGCCCGGAAGCTGCGGGCGTGGCGGAAGCGCCGGCGGGGGGCGGGGGGACGCTGGAGAACAGTGTTCCCGACAGGCCTTTCGCCCCGCGCGGTTCGCTGAGGCTGGCGCGCTGTCAGTCATGGCGCTGTCCTCGCGGCTGTGGCGCTTTCTCCCTCTGCGGCGCGGAGCCCACCGCAGCGTCTGTCAGCTGGCGAGGCCCGGGGACAGCCATGGGCACGGTGGCGTCCGGGCATTCCTGGGCTCCGAGGTAACTCGCTGTCCTGTTCTCTGCAGGGCGTTGCGGGTGACCCCATCTCCGGGTTTGGAGATCCCTCATCGCATCCCCGCTAGACGTTCGTGGAGCTTGTGTCCTGCCAGCCTGCTGAGACAGCTGGCCTTGGGACAGAGGTGTGCGTCCTCCCTGCCCTTCCCGTCCGAAAACACAACAGGAAGGTGAAAGAACCGTTGGGAAAGTTGCTTCCTGCCAAGCCACCAAGGGTTAGGGCACTCGGGTTATTTATTACCTCAGACAGCCCAGCCTGTTGGCTCAAGGCTGTCTGTAGTTCCAGCTACTAGAGTCCGAGGCAGGATGGTCGCAAATTCAAGGTCGGCTTGGGATAGCGACTCAGTTCAAGGCCAGTCTGGGCAATTTAATGAGCCTCTGTCTGGAAACAAATAGTTAGAAAGAAAGAAAAGAAAAGAAGGAAGGCAAGTTTAGTGTTACAGCCCTTGCCTAGCACCCGGGGGCAAAAATGCTCGTGATATAACTTTGCATTTTTCAATAAATAAGATATTCTATTTTTTTTAAAAAATAATTGTCCTTGAGTTTGATTTCTACATATGTTAAAGCTGTCTGGAATTTAAAAAAGTTGTCCCAGTTCTGATATTTTTATTAGACTGGTCATGACCCTCTTTATTCTTGAAAAGGGATGACATCAGTCCTTATAATCCGTCTTTAAAATATATTTAACTATTTTATTATTTTAAGCTCTAAAATACGCCTTTAAATACATGCTTAATACTAATTCTTATTATCTGTGGTGTGTGTATGTCAGGAATCTAGTTACGGCTTAATTGGCTGTCTAGAATAAGATCTCTCATGAGGTTAAGTCGGGCTTTCAACTGTTGAGGTCTCATTTAAAATCTCAGGGTTTTGTTTTGTGGTTGTATTTGTTTGCTTATTTTGACAGAGCCCCTCTAATGGCTAAGGTTGGCATTGAATTTAATGTGAGGCCCAGGTGGTTTTCTTGCCTTAGCCTTCTGAGTGCTGGTATTTCAGGTGTGAAAATTACCAACAACTTTCCTTCCTTTTTTTTTTTTTTAATTTATGTGTAGGGGTGTTTTTCCTGCATGTATATCTGTGTATCAAATGCATGTCTAGTGTAGGTGGAGGCCAGAAGAGGGCATCGGGTTCCCCAGGAACTGGATTTAATAATGGTTGTTAGTTACCCCATGGGTGCTGGGATTTGAACCTGGGTCCTCAGGAAGAGCCCAGTGTTCCTAATGAGCTATTTCTCCGGCCTCTTTTTGTTTGTTTTATATCAAAAACTCAGTGGCAATAGGCAGATATTTTCTTCACAAGGCTGCTATTGCCAGCAGACATTGCAGCTGACTTCCCAGGGTAGAGGATAGGCATCGGTTCAAAGAGGAAGCTAAGAGTGTCAACTTTGTGGTCTTCTAACCACTTAATCTTGGAAAGTAAGGAGGGCAGCAAATCCACAGTATATGTAAAGGAAAAATATCACACAAGGGATAAATTGCCTTCTTGTGTTTGTGTGGTGGGGTTCGAGACAGGGTTTCTCTATGTAGCCTTAGCTGTCCTGGAACTGCTCTGTAGGCCAGGCTAACCTGGAACTCAGGGATCTACCTGCCTCTACCTTCCAAGTGCTGGGATTAAAGGTGTGCACCACCATGGCCTTCAATAAATTGCCTTTGACAACCAGATTTAGAAAACTTTATAGATGCTCAGACCCACTGTGAATAGAACTGAGTCTCCAAAATTGTTCCCTGACCTCTACATGTCATCTGGACTCACGTCATTCAATAATAAGTACAAGCTTTTAAAACCTTATGAACTGTTCTATTTCTGACTTTAGTTTAAGAGTATAGGAAACCAAATAAGCCATTTAAAACAAGAGTCATTTCAGAAGATTCTCATTGAAAAAATAAAGTGTTTGGTCAAAATAGATATGCAAGAGCAGCTACAGATATCTTGGTGTAGGATAGGTGAGAAATGTGGCTTGAATTTTAGTGGAAATTAAGTAAGTAGATTAATTCAAAGTATTTTATAGAATTACAGTTTCATGGTAGAGGTTAAGAGAAGCCCTATCTCCCCCTCAAAAAAAAAAAAAAAAAAAAAAAAAAAAAGTCAAGGAGAATTCTTTAGTTTCTAGCTGAAACAGCCTAATGAATGGTGGTACTACTTACTGTGATATGATTTGAGGGGTAAAGGGGAAGTGAGTTCTATTTTGGGTTGTATTAGGAGGGCCACGTTGGCATATGGGATAGGTAAGTAGCTCAATAGGTCTGCCAATTACCTTTTGACTTACTTTTGTCAGTGTGTGATGATTGTTTTATTTTGTTTTTGAGCTCAGTTCTGGCTGGCCTGGAACTGATAGAGATCCATCTGTCTCTGCCTCCAGTATACTGGGATTAAATACAAGCTCCGCCACAATGGGTTCATATATAATTGTATTTTTCAGCCATGGTAAAATATTCAAAGTATCTAATATTATATCAAGAAGGAGGCCTTATATCCATCATAGGGGAATTCTAATATTTAAGAGGAAGATACTCTAGCAATAATGACAAAGAAAAGGGATAGAAAAAACATACTCTTTTCCATCTAATGATTTTTTTTTTTTTAATTTCTGGCTTTAAAGTTGGTCAAATTAATGTTGATGAAAAAATTCTGAGAGTATGCTTTTTTAATATAAGAAATGGTTTAAAAAATTGTAATTGCATTTTACTTTCTGTATATGTGTTCAGATGCATGCTGGAGTGTACATGTGGAGGTCAGTGGAAAATCTATGGGAATCTGTTTTCTCCTTTGATCCTGTGGGTTCCAGGATTGAATTCAAGTCATAAGACCGTGGTAGCGGGTGCCTTTATTTATTGAGTCATCTCTGTGGTTCCCTCAAGATATTTTTGTTGCTGTTGTTTAAGAACTCATTATAAAAAGCATTACATCCTACTTTAGAGGTACAAGGTGAAATGGCATATTCTAGCTGTTGTATATATTCTTAAAGTTATCAGTGTCTTGGAGGTATCTTGGGCCTTTGATTTTAACCGCAGAAACATTATTTACTTTCCCAGACATAAATAAAGGGTTGCTTGATATTAAACTGAGAAGAACTCAGCAGATGAACTGTTTGTCAGTTTATGAATTTACAGTGAAGAATATAGTCACTCAATGGTGATATATCTATACCTTTTAAGAAAGTTGTGTATTGGTTCACAAAACATTGGACATTCTAAATGTGAAATTTTTCTCAAATTATAGTAGTATATACAACATTTCTACTGTGTCATTACTTGTGGATTAGTAGGCTGCTAATAATTAATGTTAAAAATCTTGGTCTTTCCATTTGCTTTTTTAGGCACTAACATCACCCTTTATAAATCTGGCATAACCCTCTCCCTAGTCCAACATTTTTTCTCCTTTTCCTCCTCTTTTTTTTTTTTTTTTTTTTTGACAAGATCTTGTGTATCCTAGGTATGTAGCCAAGGGTGACTTGAACTCCTGATTTTCCTGTGCTCACCTCCCCACCTCCCTGGTTATTTCTGTGATTATAAGAGCAGCATCAAGCCCAGTTTATATGGTGCCGAAGAGTCAACCCAGGGCTTCTTATATGCTAGACAAGACTTTACAAACTACTCTATACCACTAGCCTGTCTTTAAAAATTAAGAATGCACCTAGAACATTAAATGCTATTTTGCTGTTGATTTGTTTTCAGTTTACTGGTGCTAAAATCTTGAGTATTCATTTAAAAAAATATTTATTTTATGTCTTCACACACACCAGAAGAGGCAATCAGATGCCATTACAAAGGGTTCTGAAATACCATGTGGTTGCTGTGACTTGAACTCAAAACCTGTGGAAGAGCAGCCAGTGCTCTTAACTGCTGAGCCATCTCTCCAGCCCCAAGTATTCATTTTTGACAGAACATTCAGTAAATTAGAGTGTGGTGTATTTCCCCTTTTCTAGGCTAAGACCATATCAGTAGTTTAGATGTAGATTAAATATGGATTGTGAGAGAATCTAGATGAGTTGGTGAGTTTTGTTTGTTTGTAAAAACAGAACAATAGATAGATAGAGCTCAGTGGCAGTTGTTAAGAATACTTGATGCTCTATCAGAGGACCCTGTTTCTGTTCCTAGCACCTACACAGTGGCTTGCAACCTTTGGAAATTCCAGTTCTAGAGGATCTGACCTCTACATGGCCATAGAATATATACATGTACATAGAATATATACATACTTGCAGGCAAAGCACACATGCACATAGAATAAAATGAATGAATCCAAAATCAAAACAAAACAAACTAAAAAAGGAACAATTAGGAGAATACAGTTCTCATTTACCTTAATAAGGAACACTGAGAAGAGAAGATTTGGTGGGAAGAGTTCTGTCTTGAAATTCCTAATACAGTTCATGTAGAGACAGATGTTGACTGAGTTTAGAAGTTTAGAAGACACATCCAGGCTAGAGATAGAATGGGTGAAATCTGGCATTTAAAACTGTGATAGGAAATAAGGTCACAAATGCAAAACAGATTGAGGATTAAGCTCTGGACACATATAACAGTTAAGGAGATATTGGACATGAATTAATAAAAAAGAAGGAACAGTTATGAGACAGGAAGAAATCCAAGGCAATAATATTTCAAAAACAAATAACTGTTAAGAGTAGCAAAACACAATGCTTGAAAAGTACATTACAAAGAAGATAGTTTTGAGCTGATGAGTATGTTTATTATCTTGATTGTGGTAATGAAAATGGGTTTTCCCAGGTTATACAAGCCTTAAAATTGTATCTTCAAGTATGTAGCTTATTCTATGTAAATATTCCAATAAAGCTGGTTTTAAAATTTAGTATCAGCTCATGAATTGTGTATTTTCATTCTTATAATGTATTTTTCTAAGAGGAAATAATTGGCTGTCGGATGCTGTTGATATATCAAAGTACAATGAGAATTCAGAATTGACCACAGGAAATATAAAGTGATTATTCTAAATTTGAAAATTGAACTCCCAAAATGCTTCAAAATTCAGGGCATTTGAGTGCCATAGAATTGGAAATCCCCTGCTACCTTCTTGTAACATGTCAAAGTTAAAACACAGGCACATTAATAATATTACACTAATTATTTATAAACTGTGTACAAAGATTATAAAAGCCATAAATTAATTTCATGGATATACTAGGGTCCTATGCATATGATCTCTTTTCATGTTTCTACAATATTCCAATATCTGAGAAACAAAACAATACTTAGGTGTCATTAATTAGAATGCCATACATAGAGTGGTTTGGTGGTTAAACTATTGGTTAAAAATGAATTTGTAATTTGTTCATGCCTCTCCTTTTGGACTATGAAGGCAGGGCGACCAAAAGTTCAAGGTTATTCTCAGCTACGTAATGAGTTCAAGGTCAGCCTGGGCTACCAGAAACACTGTCTCAAAAAAATATTATTTTTGTGGGTTCAAGAGAAAATGGTAACTAGAAAGTGGAAACAGGTAAACAGGATGGAGGACTTTTTGAAAGAGTTGGGAATGGAGATTGAAATAAGATTTTAAATCAAGGGGAAGTGTGTGTGTTTAACTTTTTTTTTAGTACTGAGATAAACATAGATCTCCCAAGGACTTTATCACTGAGCCACATATCTGGCCTAAGGTTGTTTTCAGAAGGAAAAAAAAAAATTTGGCTGGAACCTTATAATCCCATCTCTGGAAGCAGAGATAGTAGGACCAGGAAGATACTCAAGTCCAGCTTGGGCTATAAAGTGGGACCCTATCTCCAAAAGATTGAAAAAAAAAAAAATTACAGGCTGCATTATAATAAAGGTAATAGTTTGTTTTTAATTTCATCAAACAATTTGAAAGAAAGGAGAAAATGATACTATTTCAAATAAAGTGATGGAAGAAAGAGTTGTAGGAGTGACATGTGTTTGTCCTTGTAATTGGTTGAAATAATCTAGTTATGATCATGAATTAATTTCATTCTGCTTGTATATTTTGTTGTTTGAGTCTGGGCCTCAGGTCCATCCTAGTTGGCTTTGAACTGAAACTCAGCAACTCTGTTGTTGAGACTGGCCTTGAATATCTTTCTGGTCTGCCTGCTGAGTATTGAGATTATAGGCTTGTGCTACTATGTCCATCTTAAATATATTCATCATCTATTTAAAAACTGTAGGGTCTTTAGACAATATCCTCACTGACAGCTGGGGTTTTTTTTTTTTTTTTTTTTGGTTTTGTTTTTGTTAGTTTTTTTTCAAGACAGAGTTTTCCTACATAGCTTTGGAGCCTGTCCTGGAACTCGCTTTGTAGACCAGGCTGGGCTCGAACTCACAGAAATCTGCCTGTCTTGGCCTGGAGAGTGCTGGGATTAAAAGTGTGCACCACTAATGCCCAGCTGAGAGCTGTATTTTTTTATGTTTAGTAATATTATAGTTTTTAGCTTGTCTGCAGTTAGTATTTGTTAGGTGTAGGTTTAGAAGATCATTAATTAATTGATAAATTTATTATTAATATTATTCTATACAATTTATAGTACCTATGTCTCTGTAAAGGATTTTCATAATAATGTGACAGTCACTTTTACCATATTAACTAATTAGTTAATTCATTAATTAAATTTGAGGTTCTGGAGCTTGAAATAAGTGCCTTGTGCCTGACGCTTTACCCCCGACTTTCATTCTTAGTCTACAAATGACTTTTAGACAAACTACTACTTCCATTACTAAGATAGACTGTATGCAAAGTTTGAAAAGTTTACTCAGAAATTGGTAAACTTTTTTTTTTTGCTTCTAGCAGTCTATAATTACTTGCTTTGGAGGTGAGAGAAAATGGATATGTTTTGTTTGGGTCTGCAAATTCTTCATGATTTCAGAGTCTCGTAATTTTAATATATTATTTTCTCTAGGTAATAGGAAACACAAGACCTTTCAAGAGAGGCCTTTTGTTCTCAGCCTTGTCTTATTTGGGTTTTGAAACCTATCAAGTCTTTTCCCAGGCTGCTGTGGTTCATGCCACAGCCAAAGGTAAGAGTAAGCTAAAATTCTTGATTTATTTTGTGGATGGATGAATGTGTAACCCTGTGTGCATATGCCAGAGGTTTATGTTGTGGCTTCCTCTTTGGCTCTCCAACTTTACTATTATTTGTTTATGCATATGGGTTTTATGTCTGCATATACCTGCACACCAGAAGACGGCATCAGATTCCATAGGGGTAGAGTTATAGACTGTTGTGTGCCATCATGGGTGTACCAGGAATTGAACCCAGGACCTCTGGAAGAACAGCCAGTGCTCTTTAACTGCTGAGCCATTTCTCCAGCCATCCCATCCAACAGTGACAAAGTCACTGAACCTGGAGCTCTGCTTCCCAGTGCTGGGATAACAGATGTGTGCTGCCACAATCAGCTTTTTATCTGGGTGCTAGGGTTCTCCATGCTTATAGCATGCTCTTTATTCTCTCAGCCAGCTTCCTAGTGTTCTAAATAGCATTGTTTTCTGTACTTGTGAAACACACAGGATTACTGGTGTGAATGATTGCCCTTAGATCTGGGTGGTGGTGTTATCTTGATTCTTGACTGTCAGTTTGCATATTTTCCATGTGTTAAACCCTAAATAAAGAAAACACAGAAGTATGGAAATTTTACTTGTCTGAGGAAACATATTTTATCGTTGTGAGCCTAGCCTTTAGCTGCTGAGTTGTCTTTCCAGCCCCCCAGCAAAATATAAGGATTATTTTATTTTTGTCTTGATGACTTTGATGTGACTGCAGTTCATTTAACAACAATAACAAAGAAGAAAGAAAGCCAAAGTTTCCTAGCACATATACAGGTTTCACACCATTGGCATTTCTTTGAAAAAGCTTTGCAGAAGTGTTACAAATTTGTATGTATTTATTTTAGGTCTGGTTTAAGATTTTATTGTATAGTTGTTTCTCACCTCATCTTAGGATATCCATATTGCCATAATTTAGTTTGAAAGTAATTTACTCTAAAAGTTTAGATTGTTTTATAAAATGTGCTTTCTCTGTCAGCAGCATAGCTTATTTTTAAATATTTTCAGGACAGTGCAGAATATTAAATAAGAGAACAACCAATTTTCAGATATGTACATGGAGTGGTCTGCATGCTCCTACCCAAGTACCTATATGAGCCTGTAGTACTATAACTGTATTTTTTTCACATTCTATTTATTTTTCAGAATTCCTTTTTAGAAACAGAGGAGATTACACATATTTTTAAACCCTGTATATTATACTGTATTATGCTAAAATATTTAATAACGAAATTGGAGCTAAGTGGTTTGAGAAGTTATTAGAATATACACAAAAAGATTATTCACTGCACTAATGTAATTTTTAAATTACTGGCCGGATGAGATATAAAATTCCTGTTAAAAGCATTAATTAGTTTTCAGGCATTGTAGAGTAATAAAGGAATAAAATTAACTTTCTGTTTATATATTTTCATGAATCTATTTAGATTTACCAAGCAATATATTTTACCATTGTATTAATGGTAAATAATATTCTGGCAAAGTTGGTAACTTAAGATAGTACAAACTTATTAAGTTGTTCATTGGGATACTTGTTGAATCCCAGAACATGGGAAGTTGAGGCAGGAATATGAATCCCCTATTACCATGTACTACATATTGAGAGTTAAAAAAAAAAAGGGACTATCTTAGTGATTAAGACCACCTGCCGCTATTACAGAGGACTCAGGTTTAATTTCCAGCAACTACATCATAGCTAGTAACTGTAACTTTAGTTGTAGGGATCCAGTTGTGTTCTGGTGTCTGCAGGTATTGTATTATACACATGGTACAAGCAAGACAACAATAATACACATAAAAATAAAAATGAATAAACCTCAAAAATATGTTAAAATAAAATTACTTCATTATAAGCATGATGAAATTGCTACTTATCCTAAAACTTGTATGTTTAAAAACAAACGTTGCAAATCAACTATTTATCATATATATATATATATATATATATATAATAAAATGGACTAGAATTTTAAGCAAATTTCATAAATTTAAGCAAAATTCTTAAGTATATTAGAATTCATCCTAACTAATTAGATGGAAGTGCAATTAGTTAGAAAATATGTTTAATAAATTTTAGTATTTATTTACTGTTGTCATCCAATTTTGTAAGTAATATAATTGGTGATATTAACTTACAGTATGGTTATGCCATGAATTTCATGGTTTTGTGTTTGTCTAATATATTTTAATTTTTTAAACTTAAACTTTTAACCTCAAAAAACACTATGACTAAAATAAAATGGCACTGGAGAGATGACTAAGTGGTCAAAAGCACTGCCTACTCTTCTAGAGGACCTGGGTTCCATTCCAGCACCCACATGGCAGCTCATATCATCTTAACTTCAGTTCCAAAAGATCAGCATCCTCTTCTGGCTTCTTCACTCACCAGGTACACACATGATGCACAAACATACATGTTGGTAAAACGTTCATATATGTAAAGCAACAAAATCAAGATAAATAATAAATAGGATACAGGCTTATAGGAGGTATAATATAATAAGGTACCCTTATAGAAGGCAAAATCTAAATCAGTGTGTATCTTAGTAATAACTGAAATTTCCTGGGATTCAGACTTACCGTGTTTGGTAAACAACCAAATTTGGGGGCATTAGATTGTGATTAATGTTTTTATTAACAATACTTTATAGCCATGTGTACTTGTTTTAAGAGTTGGAAGGAATACGGTGCCAGTAAATTATGTTTCAGATTATCTGTGTAGTTAGCTTTGTCTAAGTTTGTTACAAGTTTGACTTTTTCTGTAACGGAATGTATGTATAAATTAGATAATAAGAGAATATAGTAAAATAGTGTTAGTTCTACAAGTAGATAGAGTATATTATTTTCTTTAAAATGTATTGTGTTTGTGTGTGTGTAAAAGAGAGGGGATGAGGTGGGGATGGTACATACATTTATCCAAGGAGGACAGAAGAGTGTGTCTGATACTCTGCAGCTAGAGCTATAGATGGTTGTGAGCCACCTGACACGTCTACTGGGAGCCAAACTCTAGCCTTTACCACTGAACCATCTCTCCAGTTCCTATATCATCCCTTCCTACAGTGCATGACACTTACTAAATAACAGCAGCAGCAAAAACATTATAGTTTCTATGCCATAAATTCCTAACAAGGAATCATTCTTTTTCATTGTTTTTAAAACTGTATTCATTAAATTTAGTATCCTATATTCTCTGAGTTGTATCCTCTGTGGTTTTAGTAGATCACTTACTATACTTATTTCATACTTACTGCTACAATACTTTTTTATGGACAGTTCAGAATCTGATTTAAAAGTAGTTTCTATGTCTGGTTTTGTTAGCATATCTAACAGTGGTAATTCTTGTTTTCATTTTATGATTTTGGAAGTTGAAGAAATACTTCAGCAAGCAGACTACTTATATGAAAGTGGAGAAACAGAGAAGCTTTATCAGTTGCTCACACAATACAAGGAAAGGTAAGGAATGTATGATTTATCCGGGTTTCAGGTTAACTTAAAAAGTTTTTGTTAACAATAAAATGGTTCTTGGTATTAAACTTTTTGTATAACTTTTTATTCAAAGTAGTATTTCTTAGAGTTCAGTTTATAATAAATCATAATTTAAAGTAAATGATTGGAAAGTGATATTTAAATCTCATTGATTTGTAAAAATTGCTCCTATTCTGCTAGTATGTTGAAATTTTTTTCTATTATGCATTGGTTTACAAAATTATCACTAAACATATTCATTTTTCATCACCGATTTTTCTTGTTTTTTAAAAATGTAATTCCTAATTGATATAAGTCTTCATGAGTGCATTGTTTGGGCATTTGACAGTGCTTATTTGAAAAGTAAGCTGAGGTATAATTATTCCATGTTACTAAATAATAAGCATACTTTTTTGATACCGTTAGCTTCAATGATTTACGTGAATGCTATTTTTCATCCTCAAAGAGAAAATACAAATTAGGTTTAAGCACACACACATTTAATAAAAAGTAATTCAAGGTTAAAACATTTTTATCAATTATGATTTCTAGTTTATTAGCCATTTTTATTTTATATTATGTTTAAATAATAGTTCTTCAAGGAGTCCAGTCCCCTTACTTGACATATGTCATACAACATCATGTCAGTGAAACTTGGGATTTAGTTTGTGATTACATTTGTTCAATCATTCATTCATATACAAATAAGTAACTTTTTCTTTTCTTTTTTTTTTCTTTTCTTTTTTTTTTTTTTTTTTTTTTTTTTTGCCAAATGTATTTGGAGTAAAGGATTTGGCAGTTGCAGTTTTTTGTTTGTTTGTTTGTTTTTAATTTATTTATTTTTTACATTCCAATCCCAGTTCCCCCTTCCTCCTTTTTTCCTACTCCTTCCACTCCCCCATCCTCCCATCTGCTCCATAGAGAGGTAAGGCCTCCCATAGGATGTCTACTAAGTCTGTCCCATCATCAAATTGAATCAGGACCAAGGCACCCTTCTACCTTGACCCTTGTAACCAGGCTGGGAAAGGTATCTCTCCATATAGAATGTGCTACACTAAGTTAGTTTGTACATTAGTGTTAGGTCTTGGACCCACTGGCAGTTGCATTTTTAGAGTATGGCCCTGTCCATAAAGCTAATGTATTTTATGGTACTATCTGAAACAGGAGTTACATAAAGTACAGTGTTAGTAAATCAAGCCTCATGTTACATGTTGAGCTTCAAGACAAGTGTTCAAATAACTGAATACAAAATCATTTTTTAAAGAAGTCAGTGTCTTAGGTATTATATAAAAATGTTAATGTTTGCAAATAATTTGGAAAATTTCAATAGATTTTAGTAAATAAGGAAGTTTATGAAGGAATAGTATTAAAAATATGATACTTGGTGTATCCTAACTAAGCTGAAAGAACTTTCATTAGTGTTGTGATCTTTAACAGTTTTTCAGTGTGAATTAAGATGGTTTTATATCTTGTCCAAAATTAGTGAAGATGCAGAGTTACTGTGGCGGTTGGCACGAGCATCACGTGACATAGCACAGCTTAGTAAGACTTCAGAAGAAGAAAAAAAAGTTTTGGTATATGAAGCCCTAGAGTATGCAAAAAGAGCACTGGAGAAAAATGAATCAAGTTTTGCTGCTCATAAGGTGAGTTAATAAAATGTTATGTGATGAAGACTATGTTGATGTCTACCTGTTATTCCTAACTTATGTGAGGATGCTCAATTTTAAAGGACTAGGGACAGGATTGCTAGTTTTGAGTTTGAACAGGTAGTCTAACTCTGTTAGTATGCTTGATAAAATACTTTTGCGAATGCTTATGAGTGCCCATTTTTAAACAAATGCTATAAGTTAACGATCTTTGCACTTAGTATAGCAAGCACTTGACATAATATGTTCAGTGCTGAACATGTTGGTATAAACCTGTAATCTCAGTATGGGGGAAGCAAAGGCAGGAGAATGGAGAGTTCCAGGAGAGCTAAGGCCACATTGTTAAGATCTAGTTTGAACCAACACCCAACACCTCTGCCCCCCTTTAGTGTTTCTTTTTCTTACTGTTTCTGGTGTATGAGACAGTGGGAATATAGCAGCTGGAAAACTGAAAACTAATGTGAATCCCGTATCTTAGCTAGTTTCTGCATCTCCTTACTGTTTTTCAGCAGGTTTTCAGTAATTTAGAGAGATTGGTGGTTGTGTCAATGGCACCTTCAATTAGGACTTTTTCCCCTTCCTTCCTTCCTTCCTTCCTTCCTTCCTTCCTTCCTTCCTTCCTTCCTTTCCTTTCCTTTCCTTTCTCTCTCTCTCTTTCTTTCTTATGTACACAATGTTCACACCAGAAGATGCACTAGATCTCATGATAGATGGTTGTGAGGCACTATGCAGTTGCTGGAAATTTTACTCAGAATCTCTGGAAGAGTAGCCAGTGCTCTTAACCTCTGAACCATGTCTCCAGTCCAAGACTTTTTTCTTTTAAGAAGAAAATTTAAAAACAGTTTTAAAAATGTTGCTTTCTTTATTTGTATGAGTGTTTTACTTGTGTATGTGGATATATAGTCACCATGTGCATCCCTAGTACCCTTGGGCAGTTAGAAGAGGACATTGGATCCCTTAGAACTAGAGTTGATGGACAGTTGTAAACCACCACATGGGTACTAGAAATGAACCAGGTCTTCTGCAAGAAGTGTTCTTAATTGCTGAGCCATCATTCCAGCTCTTTCCATTTTAGTTTCTTTGTAGCATTTTTACAAGTCATCCTGTTGGGATTTATATTTCATTGTCTATAGATCAATTTGAGGAGGATCGTAATGATATTAAGTATTTTACCCAGTTTCTACTTATTTGAATCATTAATGTTTTTCAGCAGTGTTTTGTATTTTCATAGTACTTGTTGACTTAATTTGGTTAAAATCATTCTCAGACATTTTTTGAGTCTCTTAATTGTGTACTTGAAAATTTTTTGAGATTATTGGTGGTGTATAAGAATGCAAGTATTTTTTCATTTTGATTTTTATATCCTGTGTTTGAAAATTATCTATTAGCTCTATTAAGATTCTATTACAGATGTAAGATCAGTTGATATCATCTATTAGTTTTGCTTTGTATTTTCTTTTTCCATTTGAACACTTTTCCCCCCCCAAGACAGATTTCCTCTGTCTAGAAACTCACTATGTAAACCAGACTGGCCTTGAAGCTCTGACTGCCTCTGCTTCCCAAGTGCTGGGATTAAAGGCATGTGCCATCACTTCCCAGCCCATTTGAACCCTTTTTGAAGTACTTTTTCATTCCCAGGTCCCTGGCTAGAACCTTAATTAAATACAGTGTTGAGTAGTAGTGACCCTTTGTCTTATTCCATATTATTGAAAGAAAGATACTATAATTAGAGAACATCCTTTTTTAATTTATCTCAATTTAATTTATGTGTACATGTATGTATCTGTATGTGGGTATGTCATGTGAGTGCAGGTGCCCTGGGATCCAGGCATTGGATCCCCCTGGAGCTGGAGTAATAGGCACTTGTAAGCTTTCCAATGCAGGTTCTAGGGGAATCCAACTGGGGTCCTCAGCAAGAACAGTGCTCAAATGCTAAGCTACCTCTGTAGCTCAATCTCTATTTTGAAAAAAAAAGAAAAAAGGTGACATTTATTTAAATTATTATTTTTTCCCAGTGTGTTGCTTGTATTGTTTTTATTAGTAAATCTTTTAAAATTAGTATATATTAATCATGCAAAAAAGAGATCACTGTGACGTTTTCAGAGGTGCATATAAATTACCCTCACTATGCTGTCTTATCTACTGTCACCTACTTTATGTCCTTCCATATTCCTAATTGTTTCCTTTTACTTCCTTTTAGGAGGCTCATAAAGATAGTTTTAAGGTATAACGGAATTTGACCATATTCACTTCTTATATAATTGCTCTATTCACTCTCCCATTTCCTCTTGCTAGATACTTTTATTCCTCCAATTTCTCTGTTTTCATGTCATACATATGGGTTTATGTGTCTGTATAAAAATCTAGACTCCACAAATGAGAAAAAAAAAAAAAACCAGACAACTTTTCCTGACTTATTTTGCTTAGTATGATGTGTTCATTTCCCAGAAAATCAGAAAATGACATAATTCAGTTATGATTCTTTATGTATATATGCCACATTTTCTTTAAAAATACTAATTATTTAGGTTAGTGAACAGTTATGGGTTTCATTATGACCATATTTTCAGTGTTTATTCATAGACTAATCCCATAGCATTGTGATGGTGACTAATACTACAATAAACATTGGATGCACACGTGTTTCTGTGATATGATCACTAAAATTTGAGTATGTACCCCAAAATTAATTGGGTCATATGGTAGCATTTTTTAATTTGTGTGTGTCTGTATGTCTTTCTGTCTCTTTGTCTGTCTGTCTGTGGGCATTTATATACCTTGTCTTCAGCCTCTCATATTGTGTTGTCTATGTACTTTACCCAATCTACTAGTGAGTCTTTGCTTGACTTCACTGACTACTCTTATAGTCATCCTTTGAATTCTCTGGGATTTCATCTCACTCATTCTGATTAGAATCCATTATTAGGAATTGGTAATTTTTGGAGGAGTCATGTTGCCTTAATTTTTCAAATTTCTTATGTTTCTGATGGAACATGGACATCTGGTATTAGCTTACTGATTTAAAAGTGGGGGTGGGGTGGGCATGTTGTTACTTGCTTTAAATCCCAGTACTTGGTAGGCAGAGGCAGGTCAATCTCTCAGTTTGAAGCTAGCCTGTTCTACAAAGAGAGTTCCAGGACAGACTGAACTGCCATCCCCCCCCAAAAAAAGACTTGTACTTTCTCCCTGTATTATTTCAGTTAACAAGTTTGTGATTTTCCAATATGATTAGGTTGTAATAGAGTTGTGTTATGTTTTTTCTCATATAGGATATATATATATATATATATACACTCAATGGTTCTGTAGCAAAACCCTCAGTTTATGTGCCCAGAATCTTATGCTGAGGACCTATAGAAAGTATAGTAATAACCTAAATCAGAGCCAACTTCTACTTCAATTCCAGTAACTTAGGGAGATTAAAGAATGAGGATATTATAGTATCTGACAATGCACTTATTGCCAGGGATAGGACAAGAAGGAAAATAAAATGAATAAGCCTAGTATCTGTAAGAGCAATGGAGAAATGACAGAAGGAAGGCGTAAAGAAAAGGGGACCTATAAACAAGAAAAGAGATAGGTAGTTTCAGATCCAAAAGAAACCTGGGACAAGTGACTAACTGTGGGGCCTATTGGCGTGCCAAAAAAAACCATGCTGGCATCCATGCTCTCTCAGCATTGCAAGTACCTGTTACAGAGTCCATGCTGTCATCCTGCCTCCTCTCAGTTCTTCTCACTCCACCCCTACCCTAAACTTCTCCAGCTGATGGGCTTCCCATCCCTAGCTTCTCGTTCCTATTAACCCTGCCATCTCAGCCACGTACTTTGTTCTCTCTCTCTCTCTGTGTCTCTCTCTGTGTCTCTCTCTGTCTCTCTGTCCCTCTCCTCTTCTCAGGGCCTGGTTCAGTCTACTGGCCATGTTCAAGGTACTACTTTCTCTCCCTGCTTTGGACTCTTCTGAATACTTCTGGCAATATTCTCCCTTACAGCTAGAATAAAAATCCTCCCTTCAACCTACCTTGGAGCAGTCATGTTCTCACTTATACAGATAGCATGAATAGTGGAGTGGATAGAAACTTGCACCCATACAACCTAAAACAGTCTCTGTGCCTGAGAGACTGAGGCAGGGAGATCTCCCACTCTCAGACAGCCTGGGTACATTGGGAAAGACTGTCTCCTGAGGGGAGAGAGAGAATGGGAAGGAGTGAGAAGAATTAAAATTAAATAGCAAATTGTGTTTTTATCTATACAGTCACTTTCATGAGTACAGGTATAAACTATTTAGTGCCTTGTGTGTAGGAGCAGAGTCTTTCTGGTCACTCATGAATGTACAGATTCATACTGTCTCTGTGGTCATTCACATGTGTAATGACTCTATTCAGTCACTTGCTTTAGAATAGATGCAGACTGTCTGGTATAGTCTGTGGCAAATGCACAGGCAAAGCTTTTCTCTATGTTAATGGTTGTTGACCTTAATGCTATGACCCTTTAATACAATTCCTCATGTTGTATTTCCCAACCAGAAATGTATTTCATTGCTACTTTATAATGGTAATTTTGCTACTGTTATGAATCAAAGTGTAAATATGTAATATGCAGGATATCTGATATGAAACCCCCAAAGGGGCCACAACCCCTAGGCTGAGAAATGCTGCTCTATGCAGTTACCTGACTACATGTGTGTTGTCTCAGTGCTATCATTTGTCTTAGTGTAGATGCAGATCCTATTTCTAGGCTATTGAATTTTTCAGTTCAAATAATATATGGATAAATTGTAGCATATAGATTCCCCTAGGTGTAAGCTCTTTATATGGGTGCTGGTAACTGAACTTAGGTCTTCTGAAAGAACATTGTATCCACTTTACTGTTGAGACATCTCTCAGGTCCCTTTAGTTTCTATTTTAAAAAATAGATTCATCGTGTGTGTGTGTGTGTGTGTGTGTGTGTGTGTGTGTGTGTGTGTGTGTGTGTGCGCGCGCGCGCACGCGCGCATGACATACCCTGCTAGTGAAAGTCAAAGGACAACTTGTGGGAGTTCAGTTTCTCTTTCTACCACGTGGTCTCTGGGATTGAATTTAGGACATCAGGCTTTGTAGCAAGTGCCTTTACTTGCAGAGCCATCTTGCTGGCTGTAGTTCTAGCTTTAGATCTTTAGACATAGTTTCTGTGTTCAAATATGAATAGTATATTCAAGAAACTTCTCCATGTCATGTGATGTTACTGTGGACTTGTGAGATAGGACCTTAATGATGTTTTGGTACATTTCTACTATATCTACTTTCTTCAGCGTTCTTGTCATGAATATTAAATTTTTATGCAGCTCTTGAAATACTTATGATTTCTGCATATTGATGTGTTGTATCACATAATTATGTACATTGAGTGATTCTTCATGTCTGAGAGGAATCCTGCTGTGGTGAATATTCTGCTTTGTCACTTCATTATTGTAAATAATCTTTAATGTGTTACTGGACTGATTGTAAGTATTTTCTCAGAATTGCACCTATTCACTGGAGATACTGTTGTACTCTATAACTTTTTTTTTGTTGTTGTTGTCTTTCTTTGGTTTGATAATATCCATCTACTTGTGTCTTTAATACAGATACTTTTAAAAATAAAGCAATAACTACAGTATACATTCAGAAGTAATGGCTTTTACTTTGGCAAGTCTGGTGCTGCTTTGTAAATCTAAAAGCTCGAACTGATTACCTCTCCCTACTTTAACCAAACAGGAGGGGTATTCTCTATGACATGCTGCTTGGAACTGGGGATGGCATACACTGGCAAATTTCTCCCACTTCTTTGTGTAGTACTTCTTATTAGAATGCCGAAACCAGGAGCTGTAATCTCATTAATTTATTTCCTTGACTCTTGTAAGGGATTTTTGGGTTTCAGCTATTAAAATTGATTTCAGTGAAGAAAAAACCTCTAATAGTCTTTCTTACTCTACTACTGCTGTCTTACCCTGCATCCTGGAGGCAGTACTAAAATTATCCTTGGGCTGTATTCTCAAGCATGGTTGAGTTACTCAGAAACAATGTGATGCTTTAGGGACTTGTCCTATGGTAAGGTAATAAGTGGAGGCAGGAGAATTTCCATAAATCTGGCAGCTGGCCAGCCTAGAACACGAGAACAGAAGAAACAAGAGATTCCTGGTGCCCCAAAGAAAGGAGAACCAATTCCCAAAAGTTGACCTCTGACCTCCATACTCATTCTGTGCCACTCATGCACACACACAACAAAAGTTTAAATGCAAACTTGAAATGGGTGGATATAGAAATAGAGACACTAGCATACCCCCTGACATCAGCTCTTGCTATTATCAGCATCAAGGAATAGTCTTATAAATGGTAGGCAAATCATGGAGAAAATGATTAGGGACAACCATGTTTGTCTTGTGTATGAGTCATAAATGCATACAAGACTTACTGGAGGCTAGAAAGATGGATCAGAAGTGTTAACAGCACGTGTTAGCTTTGCAGAGGACCCAGGTTCAGTTCTCAGCACCCACATGGTGGCTAATAGCCACCAGTAACTCTAGTTCCAGGGAAGCTGATGCCTGATTCTGTCCTTAGGGTACTACACATACATGTCACAGACATACATGTAGACAAAACACCAATCCATATAAAATAAATAAATCCCTTTTTAAAAAATGAAGTTTTGTGTTTGTGGTACAATAGGTGGCATATGATAGCCCAACACCCTGCCACTGAACTGCACCCCTAGCCTTTAATTAGAGATTATTTTATTTAGTAGCTCTAATACGTGGGAGAAGATCTCAGCAACAAGATATAAATCCTGTGTAATCCATCTAATGAACTAATTTGTACAACTGGTTAACAATGGAAATTAAATGATAATAGTCTATAGAGAGGTGTGTATTTCAAAATGTGCCATTTTATTTCCAGTAAATGTGCCGGGATACAGAGTTTCTGTGGAAAGTAGATTTGAATAATTTATTTTGGTTTTTTTTTTGGGGGGGGGAATCCTGTGCTATAGCTCACACAGTGGTGAGGAATATAATAAGAAACTGTTGTATGCACAGCATTTAAAGACAGGTCCTTCTGGTCCCCACGAAAAACTAGCTCAGTTGCTCTGAGTCTTCACAAATAATTTTTACTGAGGACATTTTTTCCCAACCCTATCCTAAATCTGGTGGCTCTTCATTAACACCTGAGTTTATGACATTTAGATATTTTAGATTTAGCTCTTGGTAGAAACTCAGATTGTCTCAGTTTGGGTCTACTGTCCAATGGCAGCTATGAAAGTAATGTCATAGTTGGCAGTTGTGTCTTTGTATTGCAGCAATACAGATGTTGAAAAAGGAGATGAGAGGGTTCAATGAGTCATTCAGTTACAAACATATCTAACAGTATATTTAGAAGTAGGGCCGTGGTGGCACATGCCTTTAATCCCAGCACTTGGGAGATAGAGGCTGGTGGATCTCTGCAAGACCAAGAGCTAGTTCCAGGACAGCCTCCAAAGCCACAGAGAAACCCTGTCTCGATAAACAAACAAACAAACAAAAAATACTAAAACAAAATAAAGAAACAACAACAAAAGGGGTATTTTCAGAGTCTCTATTACATTGGCACTTGTTTTAGATTTCACCACTTTCTACCTTGTATTATAACTCTGTCTTATCCTTTGGTTCCTAGGAGCCATGTCTGCTTTTATTTGTACTGTTTGTTCCTATTTCATCATTATGCTCAGTAACATTTTGCTAAATGTGAATAGATGGAATATTAAGAGCGGTATCCTCACCTTTTTTTTTTTTTTTTCTACTTTCAGTGGTATGCAATCTGCATTAGTGATGTTGGAGACTATGAAGGCATCAAGGTTAAGATTGCAAATGCCTACATTATCAAGGAACATTTTGAGGTACTGATTTAAGTTCATGAATTTAAAAAGTCAATACTTTTCTGAGTGAATGTGTTTTAGTAGTTACCAGTTATTGTATACAGAGCAGGTTAGTTCATACTTGTAGGCCAACTTCTTGAAAGACAGAGGCATGAGATTACGTGAGCCCAAGAGTAGGGGCCTATACAAGGAAAAAGAACAAAATCTATCTCATTTTAAAAAGCATAGCCAAATCCCTGTGGATCAGAGCAATATTAGTTTATTATTTCTTTGAATTTTCTGAGTCAATGTAACTATAGCCATTAATATGCTTTACTTAGCTAGGATGGGAAATTCAAGATGACCTCTTATCTGTTTAGTTCCTCTTTACTTGTTTAGGGGTTTAGCCCAAGCGTCTCTATAATGTGAGAGATGGCCTTCAAGAGAAAATACTCCAAATTCTAGTGTGCAAACTCTTTCAAACCATTTGTACATTGTATTGAATTTAAAAGTTTGCCATTCTTTTTGTTTTTGTTTGTTTGTTTGTTTGTTTTTTGAGGCGGGGTTTCTCTGTATTGCTTTAGAGCCTGTCCTGGAACTCACTCTGTAGACCAGGCCGGCCTTGAACTCAGAGATCCACCTGCCTCTGCCTGGGATTAAAGGCGTGCGCCCCACCAACACCTGGCTAAGTTTGCTATTTTTTAATCCACATACTCAGAAGCAGAGGTAGCCAAATACCTGTGAGTTCAAGACCATTCTGAGAGACACTGTCTCCAAAAACAAAAATTACAGTCTAAGCCAGTTTCTGTGGAAGGTTTTGAATGCCTCATGGTTAAAATATAACACTCTAATCTGATACACTTTTCTTAGTAGTAATAATTATGTTTAAGATTATACTATGTGTATTTTAATATTTTATGTGGTTTCAAATTTCTCCCTAAAGTTAATTTATTTGTTTTAATAATTTTGTTCAATGGTAAAAATTACACAGAAACCTATTTATTTCATAATCTGTATGCACACTATTTCATTATTCTTACACAGAGAACAAAACTACCACAGAAATGTTCAGAATAAAAATCTTTTATTATTGTAGATCATCACAAAATATACAGGAACAACAGAACAAGTAGGAATGGGCTGGGTAAGCTACTTGATAACTCTCCAGAAACTGACAGCTAGAAGTCTCAGCTTCTAGCTTATATAATTACTAGAGGAAAATAACATTGAACTAGGAATTAGGCAGGATACCTAACTTCTTAAACAAGCATCATTATATTTTACAAGTTGCTTACATGTCTTTCTTATATTTAATATATCTGAATTAAGATTGTACCACAGAATTAGTGTTACTTTATAGTATAAATTGGAAGTACTCTTTAGTTTTAATAATGAGTGTTTATGTGTGCATAAGTATGTGCACAACATGCATGTAGTGCCCAGAGGGGTCAAAAGAGGGTGTTAGAACCCTTGGAACTGTAGGTACACATGGTTGTGAGCTGCTACAGGGATATTGGGAACCAAACCCAAGCAAGTCTTTTGCAAGAGCAGCATGAGCTTTTAACTACTGAACCATCTCTCCAGCTCTGGAAGCAGTAATTTATTCTCTTTAAAGCAGCATATAAAATGATTTTGTGCCATATTGATTGGGGTGAGGGATAATGGAAAGACTTTATTTTAATGTTCAATTAAATTTGACAAAAGAATGTATTTATCCTTCCTTTAATCTTAAAGAAACTGTACTTTATTTAACTATTTTCTGAACTAGATTAATTTGTATATTTTATGGGTTTTCTCACATCGTAAACCAATTTCTAAAACTTGTAAAATATATCTTTAGTATAAGTAATAGTGTATTGGAACAATTTTAACCAATTGAAAATATGGGGGTGAGGAGATGGCTGTCTATAAAATATTTGTCATTCAAGCAAGAGGACCTGAGCTTAGCTATTCAGCATCCATGAAAAAATGTTAGGTGTGGAGGTGTGCACTTCTAATTCTAGTTTGGGCTGAGCAGCAAAGGCAAGAGGATCATGAGGGCTTGCTGGCCAGCTAGTGGAGCCAGTCAGTGAGCTTCAGGTTTGGTGAAAAGCCCCGTCTTTTAAAAAAACAAGGTGGAGAATGGTTGAGGAGATATCTGGCTTTAACCTCTCACCTAAACACATATAAACACACATGGAGATGAAGGCAGTGAAGAGAGGGAGGTTTATCCTGAGGTAAAAAACTGTTCTTGATTACAATGCAGATTTGGGGCTATAGAGATGGCTCAGTGGTTGTCAGTGCTGAAACTGCTCTCCCAGACGACCTTGGAGTTCAGTTCCCAGCACTCACATTAGACACATTAGATGCCTTCAGCTCCAAATGGCCCAACACCCACTTATAGCTTGCATGGATATCTGCACACATGTGGCATTTACATACATACACACACACACACACACACACACACACACACACACACACACACACAAACATCTTTAAAATGCAGGATTATACTTTTTTTTTTTAAATTCACTGCTTCTTTGGTGTTTAGAAAGATTTTATTTTTTAACAGAAAGCAATTGAGCTGAATCCTAAAGATGCTACTTCAATTCACCTTATGGGTATTTGGTAAGAAAATTTCAGTAATGTTTCTGTCCTACTTTGTGTGATATTCCATACTATGTATAAGCAATATTTTATTTTACAACATATATCTAAGCAAAATAAACTATTTAAAAATAACTGTTTAACAGAGTTGAATATTAAATCACTAAATAGCACTTGTATATGTCGCTTGAACATTGTAAATGTAGCTAGACATGGTTGCACATGCCTGTAATCCCAGCACTTAAATAAATTCATCTTCACATTTATAGTAAGTTTGGGGCAGCATGTTCCACATGAGACCCTGTCTCAAAACCCTCTTTCTTACTACCAGAAAAATAAAAACCCCAAGAAAATGAAAAAGACTTTAAGATATTTTTCTGTGGAATTTTAAATTTCCTTTCTTGGGAAAGACCTCATTTACGGTAGTAGGTAAAACTGTATTAGAAATAGTAGGTTGCCATAGGAGGTCTTCCTATCTTCAAAACATCAGACTGAGATTTTATTATTGTGAAGAACTATGTAATCTTTCTCCCAGTTTTAGTGTGATCTTGTGTCCAATATGAAGAATTATTTTGCTAGTATGAGGGCATAGAAGTGTTTTAAATGTGTGCTGGCATAAAATTTGGTCAAACTCTTTTACAAAAGAAATATTTTTCAAATATCAAAGGACAGCCACTTAATTAGTAAGCAAACCATGTGATATAATCTGTGCCTCAAGGAGTTCTGTCCCTAGTAAAAGATCCCAAATGGTTTCTTTCCTACTTCAGAAAGTTGTAATTGTTTTTGGACACTAATCATTTACTTCACTCTGTTTTAAGTGGGCATAAATTACTGGCTGTTATTGTTATTCATGTATAGTACATTGAGTTTTGTAATTTAAAAAATTACTAATTTTCTTATGTTAAAACTAGCAGTAAGCCAGGTATAAGCCTTTCAACAGTGACGATGAGGCAGGACTAGGAGTTGATGGCTACTCTGTGGTGTATATAACATAAAACAAATTGTAATAATGCTCCTGTGTCATTTAGTTGTTCTAAAGAACAAATAGAGTGATTTTGGTCCTGTACCTGACAGTGATCACTGTTTACATTTAATCACAAAATAGATCCAACTCCTGAATAAGGTCAGTCTCTAGATAATTCAGTATGAATATGAATCAACTATGTATTGTGTAAAGTTCAAATTATTTACAAGTATAATAGAAGATCCTTTTATAATGTCTATTAAGATGTTTGGGTCTCTGGGTAAAAAATATGCAATTTGAATGTATAATGCTATCTATTCCTCTGTAGGTGCTATACATTTGCGGAAATGCCTTGGTACCAAAGAAGAATTGCTAAAGTGCTGTTTGCAAATCCTCCTAGTTCCACCTATGAGGAGGTAGTATGATGTCCTTTGTTAAGTTAGTACCGATTTCTTAACTACAGTCCCATTCTACAGTGTCCACACATATGGAGATCTGATTCTGTGAGGGATTTGAGCAAGTTTCTAATGATCCAATTCAGCAGTATCACAAAGGCTTAATACTTACTGCCCAGGACTGGTGAGTGGTTTTTTTTGTTTTGTTTTTTGATTTTTTTTTCTTGTTGTTTAGGTGAGTGGCTTATAATTCTGGTACATTGTCAGTTAAAGTAGCTCATAGCTAAAATAGAACTCTATTTTCAATTATAATATATATCACATCAAAGCCATAGAATAGAGTAGGAAATAGTGATTGTTACCCAGCAAGTTTTAGAGATATTAAATACAAGACATTTACAAAAATGAGTATGTAAGAATTGATTAAAAACATTTCATGAGTGTGAAAGGCTCATATTTTAAAGGCTGTTTGATTTTCCTGTAAAAATAAAATGTAAAAAGAATTTGTACATAAGCTTTAAAGCCCCCATCTACTTACCCTTTGGATGCTGGGGCTTGAACTAGGACCTTACCCACTGACCAACATTCCTAGCCTACTGCATGAAAACCTTGAGTTTACTTAGTCAATTTTCAAAATGTAAGGAACTTTGCAGATGAAAAAAATTATACTAGTATTTCTCCTATTGTACTAAGGAGTGTTTGGTGTTGTTTGCCCCTAGGAATCTACAGTATACAATCAGATGTTGAGAAACTGGTTTCTTTCTCTTCCCAGCCAAAACCAAACCAAACCAGCCCCCGCCCCCCCACACACACACACATCTTATAAAGTATAAACAGTGAGAGAATTCACCATTAAATCATATCTAGTTTGTGTTAGAAGTGTTACTGTCATAACTTAAGAGGAAGATAACAGCTGAATTCCACATGATCAGTTCCTTAACTTTGTGCCAGGATAGTTTGGTACAAACAGTTAAGTAGCAAGCAGGTAATATCTAGAAGTGATCCTCATTATTAAAATCCTAGTCTTTGATGACTTAATTGTGTTAAGTTGAGCCTATATTAATCTCCCTACTGAATTCATCGTTTGTTTTAATAATCATTTACTTCCTTTACACCTTCCTATTACAACTTTAATAGAAAGAATAAACCTTCAAGAAAATGTGGGTAGTTTTTTCTTTTTTAAGTTACTGATTCTAATTATTTTCATTCTGTTTTACTCTTTGTATTAACAGGCCTTGAAATACTTTCACAGGGCAGAACAAGGTGAAATACTTTTACTTCAACTATTATATAATATTGTCTCAGTGCTGACTATGTCATAGAAAATTTTAAATCAAGATAAATATATATTTGCTGTTATCTTTCACATTGGATAATATAAAAAATTTAATTTGAAAATTTACGTGTATGGGTATTTTACCTACATGTCTGGTACCCCAGAGACCTGAAGGCATACCTTTGGGTCTGGAGTTAATAGATAGTTGTGAGCTGCCATGTTAGTGCTGGGAATTGAACCCAGGCCCACTGGGAAAACATTCAGTGACCTTAACCATGAATTCTCTCTTCAGCCTCAAATTTTAACTTATCTTTTAAAATAAAGATCACCTAAACAGGAATTGCACTTAAATTCAGAGTTCTAATTTTGGAATGTTCCCTTCATTTAATAATATATATATTATTAAATTATCATTTTTTTTAAAATGAGGTAGCTAGAACAAATGGTCTTTCTAATTTGTATTTTTATTGTTAATTGGAGGCACTGAAATGGAAACAATTTAAAACCAAGCTAATTTGTTTTGGATGTTGCAACATATTGTACTCCATTGTGAAAGAGTTCATTTTTCCTACTTTGATTAAAAAATGGCTACTATTATAACACTTTTGTTTGCCTGCCCTACATATTTTCCCTTAAAAAAAAAAAAAAAAAAAAAAAAAAATCCCTGGCACTGCAGTTGTTACTTAATGGCACAGTTCTTTGCTGACATGCACAGGGCCCTCAGTTCAGTCCCCCAAACTAGAACAATAATAAGAAAGAGACAAAGTATCTGTAATCAGGTGTACCAAAAGTGCCACTCTGAAAAACATTTTCATTTTCTTTTTGATAGTTCTCACTATATAGCTCAAGCTGGCCTCAAAGTACCAATCCGCCTGCCTCAGCTTACAAACATTGGAATTTTATAACAGTAAACTAAGATATCCTTTTAAGTTTGAGATCATATATGTATATACTTAAGCAACTTAGTGACAATTTTTAAAGCTTTAAATGACTGTGTTTGAATGTTAAATATTTCTAACTCATGAAATTTTGTTTACTGCTTATTTTATTATTTTTACTGATCATATGAGTATGAACTGATCATGTTCACGAATATGAATCTAAGAATGAAATTATCTCAAAGGGGTTTGAAATCCTAAAGCAAAAATTAGACCTTAAGACAAGTTTGGCAGTTTTGAATGAAGTTGTGCCCTCTGCTCATGGAGTTAAATCCTTGGTGACTCCACTCGCACAAAAGATTTTATATGAGCAGTTACTTTCTCTAAGCAAAAGGATGCCTAATTCTGGTCCAGAAGCCCCTCCCACGTCGTTCACATCTCCCACATGGGCCTCCTTATTCTGCCATTTGGGTGTGTAAGGCTGTGTGTCCAGTACATGGATTTTTCCCCCCCTTTTTGGCTCATGATTAAGTTTCCATTGCTTCACATGATACTTGGATGACTTCCTGGACGAGGAAGTAGGTGGATAAATTGGCATACTGTGTGTGTGTGTTTTTTTTTTTTTTTTTTTAATCAAGAGGGAAAATCAGTCAACCACAAGTTTTTCACCACTCTAAATCAGCATACTTAACTTCAAAATGTTTAAATCAAAGAAACTAAATGGCTGAGTTTTAAGCAATTGCAGTTAATCATAAGATATGTCCAGGAAAAAGCAGGCTTTGTTCTCTTTTAAATCTAGAGCCTGTTATGTGCTAAGCATGTGTTCTATTACCAAGCTCCATCCCTGGCCTCAGAAAACATGCTTGGAATACAAAAAAGACAAGATAACTAGGAGGAACTGTATGAAGTTAGAGCTAAGTGTGGTGAAGGTACTGTGACATTGCCTTACAATTAATTATTAAATTCCAGGCCCACTTAGTCTTTCTCAAAAACAAGTGAAAGGATTCTTTTTTTACTTGTATTCATAGCCTTCTTAAAAAATATTTTTATTTAACATATAAGTAATTATATATTCATACATGATCAAATCAAAGCAGTTATCTCCATCTTAAGTATATATCATCTTTGTATTAGGAAATACTGGAGTCTTGTAAGTCTTCTAAAAATATATAGTAAATTGTTAGCAACATTTCCCTACTTTTGTGACCCCCCCTTCCCACCTTCTGACAACCACTACTCTATGCTCACATTGCTAGGCTCTGTCTGCACTTTCAACCAAATATCTTCTCTATTTTATCTAGTGAAATCCTGTTCATCCTCCAAGATGTTTATCTCTCAATTAGTGGGGTTTTTTGGTTTTTTGTTTGTTTGTTTGTTTGCTTGTTTTTCTTTAATGTGGCTTCTTGTAGCACATGAAGCATTTAGTTATTAGGAGACATTTAACAAATTTGATTAAATTTATGTTAACCATGATTTCATTCATGCATTCCCTCACTCACTGAACAGATGCATTTAAGTATGTGTTACTTTCCCTATACTTTTCTAGGCAGTCAGAATACAGTAAGGATGGTTGGTTTAAAAAGAAAATTGTTCTTATATATCTCATGTTCTATCAGCATGAAGATACTGTATAATACATTCTTAAAATGAGACCTTCATATAGTAATGTACAGAGCCACTAAGTATATTCAATACATCATAATTTTAGGGTTTTTTAAGATAACATTTGAACGAAAGAATTGTATTAGCTTAATCATTGTTTAACCACACAATTTTATTAGAATTTAGACCAAAAATTTAAACCTATAAAAATACTATTTCTCTTCAGCTGATTTTGTTTCTCTTCCTTATGTATAGTGGATCCAAACTTCTACAGCAAAAACTTGCTGCTGTTAGGAAAGACATACTTGAAGCTAAACAACAAAAAACTTGCTGCTTTCTGGCTGGTAAAAGCCAAGGGTTATCCAGCACACACAGAAGAAGATAAACAGGTAAAATATCTGTAATAAAGTAAGGCAGATAGGCTTTCATTGAGACATTAATAAATAAATGAACTGAGAACTTCTTTTAAAGCATAATTGTTTAAATGCATAGTTCTGTGAAAAGAACAAGTGCCCATTAATTACTATAACCAAATGTTGTAAGTTGCTTGCTGCAATAGAAAATTGATGTATATCTAACTGAGATCATATATGGCTTCTAAAACATGAAAGTTAGCTCAGCCATAGATGCTTACCTCTCATGCACAAAGACCTGGTTCAGTTTCTGACACTGTGGGCGAGTGGGGTTGGGGGCAGCGTATAGAAGGTTCAAGGGTATGAACTAGAGTTGTCTTTGATTATTATCTAATCATCACTATCAGAAGACTTTACTCTTACCATGTCCTGTTTTTTTTTATGTTGAAACTCTGAGAAAACAGTCTACTTTATCAACTTCAGTTTATAAGTTAGGCTGCACTATTTATGTGTAATGTGTTTGTTTTTGTTTTTGTTTTTTTTCCACTTTAGATACAAACAGAAGCTGCTCAGTTGCTTACTGGTTTGTAACAGAACTGAGAACTTTTTGGAGAAGGCAACAATGTACCTAACACTTTGTACTTCATTGATTTATAAAGAACTTCAAAGATTTATAAAGATATATATTAACCATGATTCTGTGGCTTTTTTCCCAATTCTTTTATGTGTGACCATTTCACAGAATAAATGTACAAAATTCTGGGTTTCTTCACAAGTAAATGGGTGAAAGAAACTACCACATTGCCCTAAGAGTGGCAGCAGTACATTTCTCTGGTTCAGACAGACATTTTCTATTTGGAACACCAATAGGAAAAAATGGCATGGGATATGTTAAGTATTGGTCACATCAGGATGAGAGGTTTTCAAAAGAAGGCTTTGTGAACAGATGGCATGTGAGGGAATGGTTTTCATGGTCTAATTGACTGAAAGTTGTTATCTTAGAAAAAAGGTCAAATGAGTTAAGTGTTTATGATGTTGGGGGTTCCTGGCATAGAGAACTTAAGTAATGTGTCTTAGAAGCCAACCTGAGTAAGGAAAAGTACTGTGGCATGATTTTCCTTTTTAAATATGTTATAGCTTCATAGATTGGTTGAATTTGTTCCTTGAAAAATTATGTTTTATAGAATGGAGGGACACAGATTTCAGGGTGAGAAAGAAATAGATGTATTTAACACACAAGGTACTATCACTTGAGTCTGTGGTGCCACCACGGCAAACTTACATTTTGTAAACTGAAGCTTGGATGCTACTTACACTGAACGAATGTGATACTGTATAGGTATATTTTTACCCCCAAAAAACTTGAGAATTGTAATGTTTTAATAAATCACAACAAAATGTGTAGGTTCATGCTGTTTCTGTTTTACCAAGTAAATTTTCAAACATAAACATTACAAGTATATCCTGTGCTTGAATTTAAGCTAATATTTTGATATATCCTATTTATATGTGTATATTTATTCATATGTAATTAATGGATTTTTAAACCTATGAAATTACCTTAAGTAATACCCTTAAGTATCTTAGCTGCTCTTCAGAATAAGTACATGTTCCAAAACAAATACATTGTCATACCTGTTATATTACCTCCTAACAAGACATACTCAGATTTTCTTAACTGTCCAAATAAACTTGTGCTTTTTGAGAACATAATTTGATTTGCAGCAGTTGGTTTTAGTCTTACAACAGACTTTCTGGAGAGGCCAATCCAGTTGTTAGTATCAACTGTCCTTCATTCCAGATGAACTTCTGAGAATCATGTTCCATCTTGTCTTCTGGACTCCATTTAATTATATTTAATCTTCTTTGGCTTTCATATTCATCACTTTGAAATTAACTTCTGTTTCATTTTCTAAGTTCATTTTCATTTTTGATACATTGTTTTGCTTTAGGAGATTTGTATTGTTTAAAACATGATAACTGTCTTTATCCGCAGATTTTTTTAGTTTTCTTTGTTTTTGTCAGCAGCCATTTCATATCTTCATTAATTGTCTAGTCTAGTTATGAACTTTATCTACTTTTCATCTTATATATTAAGCTAAAGAACTTAAATTTTTTACATTACATCCAGGTCTTTTACCATATATGTATTCCTGTTGCTTCTGTGGGTTTATTCACACACAAAACATTGTTTCTGGTAAGTTCTTTTTAAGAAATGAGGTATTTTCCAGTACAGGCTTTTATGGATTGGAAGATCTATCTTTTGATGCTTTATAGACCTTCTTTATTTTAAAATAATTAAGATTCACAAGAAATTACATAATGTAGTACAAGCAGGTTCTAAATATCTTTCTTCCTGTTTGCCCTTGGGTGGCATATAACTATAGTATAATACCAAACTATGAAACATGCTGGTATTTGTAGACCTTAATTCAGATTTTATGACTTTTAGATGTCCTCACTTTATGTCTAGTTCTTAGTAACTACTACATAATATTTATAACTACCACCACAGACAAGATACAGATTTGTTTTACTCAGATATCTAGTGCTCTGTATAGTCATACCCAGCCATGTTCAGTACCTCTAACATTCCTGACACACCCTACAACTAAAGAGCTATAAATTTGTCATTTCAAGAGTCTTAGGCAAATGCAATCTTCTAAAATATAACCTTTTATAATTGTGCCATTTCATTATGTTCAGTATCTCTAACATTCCTGACACACACTACAACTAATCAGCTATGAATTTGTCATTTCAAGACTCTTAGGCAAGTGCAATCTTCTAAAATATAACCTTTTGTAATTGTGCCATTTCATTTAGCCAGATCTCTTATAAGAGCTAAGTTCAATCAATAGTTTTTCCTTTTATTGTTAATATTTTTTATTATATGGGTATACCATTTTATCCATCTATTGCGGGTATTTTTTTCTAATTTCTGGCTATTAAAACTAAAGTTGTTTTACATTCACGCTTATTGTGGCATTGCTTATAGACAAGTTATGAAATCAGTGTAGATGTCTATGAAGTAGACAAAGAAAAAGTATATATTAACAAACCAGTTTTATCCAGCCATAAAAAGTGAAATTACCTCATTTGCAGCCAAAAGGATGGAACTGAAGATGATCTTGTAAAGCCTATAGAAGCTCAGATGGATACTGCATATGGATCCAAATTAAACAAACAAACAAATGACATAAAAGTAGAAGGCAGATTACTTGGGAAGAGGAAGGAGGTAGTGGTGGGCTGGATATGTCAGAGTACATATGAAAATATCACAGTGAAACCCATTATTTTGTATAGTGAATATATGGTAATAAAAATTTGAAGGTATTGTGACCTAAGTTTATGTATACTTATTTTCCTTCATAGGAATAATGACCAGGAACACACAAATTCTATGTACTTTCTAAGTCCATGTTTCACTTCCAAGAGCCTAATTCATAAGGTGCCACCTTGGTTCTTATGTGTGCCCAAGGGTGAGACCACTACTCAGTGAATGCACCCTTTAATGCCATTATTTCACCTTCCTGTAAAATTCCTGACTGTTTTTGTGTGCATTCCAGACTTCACTTTATTTGAAAAAGCTAATTTCCCCATACACAGTGTGTAGCAGTCTATGTACTAAACATATTACAGTTACAGGCAATGGGTGATTTTCCTCCCTTTAAATGTGTCTTCTACCTTTAAGATTGTATGAAACCTAAATCTGTATTTGTTTATTGGTAGTGCAGTGGGTAGAAGAGCCTAGGCCTCTGGGCACACCAGGGGAAAGTTGGTTATTTGGATGTCTCCTTTTCATTCATATTTGGTAGTGAACTTGTCTTGATGACAAAATATTCCCAGTGTAGACCATCAACAGGCAATGGATGGTACAACACAGCTTGTCAGATTTGTCTCTTCTTTGTCAAGGACCAAGAGAATAGTTCATGGGAAAGGCATAGAATTAGTACTTTAAAAAGAAATACTATCATCATTTTAATTACATTCTCCTTGTTGAATTCTATAGTAGGGCTTTTAGATTTTAGGAAATAGCGCTTTTAGACTTACGTCAAATTCCCAATTGACTTTAAACTTGATTTCTGTGTTCAGCATATTAAGAAGTGGGGCGTATTACATGAGAACCTTTATTTCATGTATCAACAACTGATTGTTTTTTGCTTCTTCAGTGTTTGGTAGATCATGTTAATGTTTACTTAAATGTTAGAACTCAAGAAGCCTACAAAAACTACATTTGTTTTGGTTTACTCAGAATACTGACTGTAGAATAGGAAACATGACTTGCCACAAGGCAAAGTTAGGCCTTGTTTCAGAAAATAAACATATAGCAGTAGCAGGAGCATCTACATGGTTTTCAAAAGAACCAGAATCTCCAAAGTGACAGCTCAGGGCATTCTAATGGAAGAGTTTTTAGATTCAGAGAAACCCAGTTACTGCTTCTGACTATGTATCAGGAGCTTTTTCAGTTCAGAAGCAGCTTACTAGTTAGGGTCTTTTTCAACCCCAAACGTAAACAAGGTTGTCTGCAATGTAATGATAGGTATACAACACCTTATTTAGTTTTTAGGAGAACTAGGTAGATAATTGAAGTCAGCTGGAAGAAATAGTTATATTTTCATATGATTAGGAAGTATAAGGAAAAAAAGACAAAAGATAAAACAAAAAACCAAATAGTACTTTGTTTCCCTAAAGATAGATGGCTGAGATGATTGGTAAAATTATTTTAAGCCATTCCCTAGGCTCAATTTATTGGTGATGCTGGGTATTGTCACTATTATAAAGTATCATTAACCTGCCTCTGAGTCTTCCTAATCTCCCATTTTCTCATACCTGTGTCATGGGCCCAGTTCAGAATATGGATGGGAAGGATAGAGGATAGAAGAAGGCAGGAGGTGAACACATCTCTTTGATTTTTATGTTCACTACTGAGAAGATAAGCCCGTGTGTCTTAAAAACATAACTGGGTGTGAAAGATAGAAGAGCCTGATGAGGTCTGCAAACTAGTCTTCCCAAAGAAACTAGCTTGGTCTTGTGGGCTATGACCAACGAGAGGTAACTTAATAAAAAGGACCACCTTCCTGAAATCCTACCTGACACCCACCTTGAATCATATCTGCAAAATGATAGTGTCAAATACCTCCACTGAATGAAAGCCAATACTTTGGGTCATAGTAAGTTTATTTTACAGAATAATTTATGCAGTACTTTTGATGACTGGCCATCCTCTACTATATAACTTGCCATATATTAGGAATAAAAAAAATTAAGCCTGAAAATAACCAGATTTTCTGTACTTTATCGAACTAAGTAAATTACTGCTTTTATTGTTTTTTTAATAAAACTGAAGAACATAATCTAAATATGTAGAAAAATAAAATCTTGCCAAAACTAGTGGTTAGAAGTTGTAATTCTATGTGAATTTCATAATTACAAACCTTTACATATATGAACTTCGCACTGCATATTGAAAGGATAAAAATGGAATTTTTTTTATTAATTAGGAAGCCCAGTTTGCTAAAAGTAGCAATATCATTCACATTAGATTTTAATTTTTTTATACACCATGAATGCCCTTATAATGAAAATCAGTGTTATTTGGAGAAAACTTGAACTATATAAAATAGGGGGCACAAAGGATTTTTTAAATGTACTTACTAAATTTAGAAACAATTTTTCATCAATTTTAAAGAAAGGGGGATATTCAAACACTAATAGTTCTTAGTGTGGGTGTTTAAATACTTATGCAACTTTTCAATCCATTTAAGTTTAATTACATCTCTAATTTCATAAAACTAAACCTTGAGCACAAAAGCATCAAAGTTCAGTACCATTTACATACCCCTAAGTATTAAACTATTATTAATTAAATTTGAAGCACATTATAAATTTAAAAATGTTAAGTACAGAAATGCCTGATTCTTTGAAAGTCCACAAATACCCAGCATCCTAAAGTAACATGTAAATAGACCTCTGATTCTCAGCAAATCAATTCCAGCTGCTCCAAGACACTACTAGATCTATTACATGACTTCCATATTTATTGATATAACAATGATGGGAAAATTTTTTATCTGTTCATTTAGAACTCAGTAAGTTGAAGTACTTGTCTTCAGAAAAGCCAGCAGCATTTTAAAAATACACTTAAAGAGTTTGCCTAAACCCTAAATACCTTCCTGAACAGCCATGCAACTAAAAACAATCAGATGTCACCGAGGGAGAAGAACACAGAACATCTGCACTTTTCCCCTGGACAACAGGAACAAGGCAAAGCAAATCCAGAGCTTTATGAATGAACGGCTGCTATGTTTAATACACTTGGCGCTCTATAAAACTAGAGCCACTGTCATTTGCCTATATAGATATATACTCCTTAATAAATTCTCTTGCTTCAAAATTTAAGGATGATCTTTTTCCTGGTCAGTCATTTCAAGGGAACAATAAATAAAGTAGAAAATGATGAAATGTTTTGCATATTTCTGTGGAAGAACGGAAAACATTTATACTTTGAGAGAATCAGAAAATTAACTGTACAGAATGAACAGCTTATATACACTATCTGTGCAATTTTTCTTGGCTGGGGTATTTAAATGCAAGAGCTCCTCCAAGACAAGAAGCCACATTCATTCTTGTCCAAATCCCTCTGTCTCTTCTATTGCAAAAAGAAGTTTTTCCTTTAGTTGTTCATAACTCTTATATGGTGGTAGATCCAAGCGATTAAAACTGAACAAAAACAAAAACAAAATCAGACGTTTTCAATAAAATAAACTGAAGAGATTTCTAATACAGTATTCTTTTAATATTATGTATGTAAAAATTTTGCCAAAGGTATCCTAACAATTTAATAATTAGCATATTAACACATCTAAATTTCATAAAAGAATTTATTCAACTTTAAGACATAAAATATCTATATATTTACCAAAGAATAATAGAATCACAAATAATATCAATATGTAGAAAGACTGGGTTAGAAAATGGGTTTTCTTTTGCTATTTCTGTGTCATAGGTCATGAGTCTCCATAACTTTTCTTAGGTTAAGTATTAATTTCATCCATTTATTCATTCATTCATTCATTATTTTCTGAGAAATTTTTTTGTGCAAGATGTTCCAGCAACTGGCAACACAGTGATGAAAATCCTAGGTCCTTTCTCTCATGAAAGTGGAGACAATCAGTGAATAGATAACATACATTTGTCTCCTTAAATAATCTCACCATATTAGATTGTAATCTACAAACTGACCATTTCCCAGCCCTTCCAAGATCAATTCTTTTCTGAGACTAAATGATGAAAAGAAAAAATAGTAGAACTAAAACAGAATAATATTAAATTTCTAAAATATGGTACTGACTAATTTCACTAGACTCAAGTATCCATGGTCTTGATATCTTAGTGAAACACCCAGGAAGGAAACAAGACTTTTTTTTTTTTTTTTTTTTTTTAAACACTTCTCATCTGTCCTGACCCCACCACATGTGCAAGTTAGGAAAGCTGATAATTAAGAGTCTTTAGGAAAAGGCAGCCAATTTCAACCAATTTCAAGTTATGAAAACCATCTTAACATACTAGATTTTCATACTAAAAAACTTAAATATATTTACTGCAGCAACTTAGACTATATTGGTTACCTTTCATTTTATACTATGTTCCAAGAAAAAGACTCTTAATGGTAATTGAGGTCAGGAAAATAATAACAACAACAAAAACAATCTTGCACATATCCTTTGCCACATTTCTACTAAATCCTATTTTTTCCCCTTGATCATTTGTGTTGTCATTACACCCTTGTATATACTTTTCTGTCTCACCATTGAGTATTTGGTGCTCTGCTCACTTTGCATCCACTTTTTTCTTCATTCCCTATGTTTCTTTACATCACTGTCTGAGTCACTCTGCTAAAAAGACACTAGATATACCACTCTTAGAAACCCTTTGCTGCTAAAGCTGCATAAGACGTAGGATGATAGATGGAAGGCTAGTATCAACTTACTTTGTACTCTTTAACATACTACACACTTTCTCTATAGCCATGTCCTTTGTCCCTCTTTGGCTTAGAATACCCTTGCATGTGAAAGTCTCACAA